TAAAAAGATTAAAAAAAAAAGAGTTAATCATTATATTAATTTAAGAATTATACTAACTAGAATTCACTACAGGTGATTATTATTTGTAATTAAGTTATATAGGTTAATATATATAAGTATCTTTTTTTTAAAAAATCAGTTTTGGTTATACATATTTATTTTTATTGCTACTGATAATATGTTGACATTGATAATGTCATAGATGCCATTGTTGCTGGTGCTTTTCAGTTACTGTTGGTGCCTTTCAGTCATCAGTTTTGCTATTACTAGTGCTTTTAGATCATCGTTACTGGTGTTTTTCGATCATTGTTGGTCACTATAATTTTATTGTAGTGCTATACATTGTTCTGTTATGGTTTGTACTTTTTTTATAGCTTTGTCATCTTTAGGCATTTTCAGCTTTGGTTTCGTCAGTATAGCTGTTAATAATTGGTTGTTTCATTTTATCGATTATATGGTTTTGTGGCTCTACTACTACTAGCGCTACTGTTTTATTGTTCTGGCTTTGTTAGTGCTATGTTGCTATTGGTAGTTTTTTTTTCAATTCTTTTTTTTTTCTGATAGTTTATAGCTTTGTCGTGCTTGAAATAGACACCAAAATTGCTAATATATGCAAATTAATAATTTCAGGAGCAGACTTCAGTTAAGCACAACTTCAGTTAGATACTAACTCTAGGTATAATAGCTCTGTTATTATTAACGTGTTCTATGTTGAATTCCCATTTTATCATTGTATCATTTTGTAGTTTTGTTGCTAGTTCAATATTGTGATTCTATCATTATAAGCTTTTGAGACTTTTTGTTGGTATGGTTTCGTGACTTGCTTTTTCTACAAAATTATATATTTGGGCAATTATTTTTGAATTCAGACCAAAATATTATAAAATTATATATAAATTAGTTCAGGTTCAAAAATAATTACCTATTCAATATGCAATTATTTATTATACTATGTTTATGTTTATCTATTTAGTAGATTATTAAAAGTAAAAAGAAGCTATTGAATTGGGAGCATACTATTTATAATTGCCATGCTACAATAATTTAGCAATCGTTATATATTTTTATGTATATATAGTATATGTCTAAAGAGAAAAAAGACAATTTCGCCAGCAACTATTTTGCAGACAAAGTTGATCGATTTAAATTAGAATTGGCCTGAAACCTTATACATCTAGTTACAATAAATTTTTGGTACTATATAGTCATTCTTTTCATCTTGAGTTTTGTATCTCAAAACATTTTAGATTAGGTTCATTTCTTTTTTTCTGTTTTTTGTTCATTTTTATTTTATTTTGCTACTGTTCAGAGATGATAGATAGTGTGGTCTTGAATTCTGTAATGCTATATTGTCTTGGGTTCTGCTATGAATATAGCATAGTATAGCTAATAGATGTTTGAGAAGTCTGTTGAAGGTAACAATAAGTAATGTAGTCTTGAATTTGTTGAAAGCTACAATTCCAATGGCTAATATAGTCTTTGACCTGTTATGAAAATGGTTTAGGCATAGCTAATGATGAAGAATAGGCATGTGAGTGATATTTGAAGCCTGTTGAAAGCAACAATGCTAATGACTAGTATAATCTTTAACTTGTTACTTTACTAAAATTATTCATTTATACAATAGTGACAAAATATTCTAGATATAGTATATATTATTAATATTATAGATCACCAAGAGGAAATTTTTATAACAAATCACAAATTTAGTTTTGATGGAGTATGAAAATCAGTAATTTTCTATACTTTATCAAAAACCTCATTAAAGCCTTTTTAGTGCTAGTAAAAAACTAAATTTGCGATTTGCTATGAAAATTTCCTCTTAGCAACCTATATTATACCTATACTATTAATAATTTTAGCAAAGTATGAAAATAGTTTAGGTGCAGCTAATAAAGAATAGATGTCTGAGTGGCATTTGAAGCCTGTTAAAAGCAACAATTCCAATGGCCAGTGTAGCTTTCGACTTGTTATAAAAATGATTTAGATACAGCTAATAATAAAGAATAGGTATCTGAGTGGTATTTGAAGCTTGTTGAAGGCAACAATTCTGATAGCTAGTATAGTCTTGTACTTTGCTATCAAAATTTGTTAAAGATAGCAATTGTAGTCTTGGATTCGTTATAAAATAGCATCTGCTAATGATGCATTTGAGTGGTATTTGAAATCTGCTAAAGACAACAATTCTGATAACCAGTGTAGTTTAGGATTTTTTGACTTTTAATTTATATCAGTAATGCATTTAACTCATATTTTTTATGATCTAATTCATTTTTTTGATATAGAATTTTAGACAAAATCATGTATTCTAATCTGAGAATCTTGATCAGTTAAAAATCATTATTAATACATATTCAGATTTTAAAGTATTAAATTAATTTTATTAAGATTAAGATAAGAGTAGATATTATTGGCATTGTAATTATTTTAGAACCATCTGAATTGCTAGATTAAGTTTTTTTAATAAAATCAAAAATTTTTTTCTTAATTATTATTATATACAAGTATAGAAATTTTTTTTTTAATTAATTGATTTCAAATTTTCTGACCAATTTTTTGGAATTAGTGTTTAACAACATTTGTCTAATTGGCTAATATAAATCAATATGATTTAAGAATGCAATTGCATAAGGCATTTCTAACTTCAAAAGCTCACTGTGCAAAAATAATCAGTAAATCCATTTAGAGGCACTATTTATTATACTAGACATATATAAGTTCCAATGCTAAAAGCTGTTAACAAAAAAAGAAAATTAAGACATTATATGTAAGATCTAATCTAAAGAACTTATCTATACTATTTAACATATTATTATAGCAAAAAGTTTATACTAATACTTTTATTTTGTATATATATTAGTAACTTCAGATTAAGTAGTAGACTAATAATATGTATTTCTAATAAAGATCATAATAAAAGAGTTTTGCCAATAATTTATTTATATATTAACTAGGTTTAGGTTTTTTATATGTATTTATAAATTCTTTGTATACTTCTATTTTCTAATATATAAAAATTATAGTTAATTATCACAGGACCCTGGATATCTCTAATATAGATCATATTTGGATTTTGGCCAATTTGGCCTAATTTGCTAAAAAGAGGGCATCCATATATAACATTATATACCCCTACATAGTAGCTTTTGACTCCTCCCCTAGACTATATAAAAAAATTTTAAAAATCCATATGTTTATATATAAATTTTACAAAAACTTGGATATATTATGATCTAGTAATCCAATCAGGATGATTTTGATACCATTCGATTCGTCTCAGTGAGGCGAATCCAATAGTACCAAAATCATTTCATTTTAGACCACTAGATAACATTTTATTAACGAAATACTATTGATTTTATAGTAATTTTATAAGAAAACATAATAATCAATAGTATTTCGTTAATAAATCATGATCCAGTGATATGAATCAAATAATTTTGGTACCATTCGACTCCTCTCATCAAGATGATTCGAATAGTACTAAAATCATCAAATTTGGACCACTGGATCAAATTTTAGACAAATTTTATAAAAAAATTATGTTATATTTTAGGGGACCCCTCTAAATATTGAAAAATCATTATATTTTGGGGACCCCTCCCCCCTCAAGCATAATGTTATTTATGGATATTCCAAACTAAAATTTTGCTTTTTCTTAAATATCTCCGGATCCAGTGATTAGAATTGAATAAATTTTTTTAAAAGAAGTGCTTTACTAAAGGCTTTCATTTAAAAAAAAGTTCATCTAAATTAGACTACTAGTTGCTAAGATATTTACAAATATGTGATTTTTTGCTCCCCAAATTTATGAAAGTTGCTAAAAAGTTCATATATGACCTATATCCTAGATATCCGGGTCCTATTATTACTATAAATTGATAAAAATTAACTAATTATAAAAATGTTCTAAATTTATAAAATAATCTACATTATATATATTGTTTACTTGTTTATATTTTTTAACCAATCAAATCAAATATCTACTATGCTCATAACAGATACTAAAGTTAGTTATAAGAGGTTTAATGGTTAGCCCTGATCCTAAGTGCATGGGTCAAGCTATAGCGTAAAGTTACTGAAGTCTGGGTAAGGCATATGAGTAAAACAAGTGTTTAGCAAATAGGCAAGCATGGCCTTTTGTTGATCTAGAAAAGAACCCCCTAGCAAGTTAGAGGCCAAAGAGAAAATAAATCAGTAGCTAGACAGGTATACTTGGGCACCTTAGAGCAGCCGAGTAATGCTTTATATACAAATAGTGGTATAGTAGTCTGGGAATTATAACACTGTAAGAGAGAGACTCAGGATATATAGAAATATATAGACTAGGTTATTATACTACTATATAATAATTTAATTATTCAGATATAATAAAGTGGATACTGTTGAAAAAAAAAAATTTGCCAAAGAGTTTAAATATGTAATCCTAGTTTGGGTTGCAGGTACAGATACCTAGTATATACTAGTCAAATATAAGAAATTCGACTACTAAATAAAATAGCCGATTCGATCTGAATTCGATAGTCGAATAATTGGCTAATTTTATATCGAATTGTTGAAACAATTTGACCTAAATTCAATAGTCAAATAATTGGCTAATTTTATATCGAATTGTTGAAACAATTCGACCTAAATTCGATAGTCGAATTATTTCAACAATTCGATATAAAATTAGCCAATTATTCGACTATCGAATTCAGGTCGAATTAGCCATTTCATTCGGTAGTCAAATGCTATAATAAATCGATAAGGATTCAATTACCAAATATTAACATAAAATAGGGCGATAGTAGTCGACTACTAAACATTCATAATAAAATTAGATAGTCAAATATTAGGATATTTATACATAATAATATTAAAATAAATCAGACTATAATCAGAAAAAATTCAATATATTTATTAATAATTAATAAGCATAGATACAAATATATATACAAAATAAAAAAAAATATTAAGCAAAAAAAATATTAAACAAAAAAAAATATTAAAAAAAAATATTAAACTATTCGTTTACTTGGTCGTTCCACTATAATATCAGAAGCTGGTCTTTTACCACTTGCTTTGTCACCCCCATTTCCACCACAATCATTACTATCCTCACCTTCATCCTCATTATAATCACCATCATCATCATCTTTATTATCTTCATCATCTTCATTATCATCATCATCATCATCTTTATCCCCTTCATCCCTACTAGAATAAATTTCTTTATTTTTTCTACCTGCTGCCCAATCGGGTACACCTTCATATCTCTAAACTCTCAACATATGTAATCTTCTACAGGGACATTTTTGAGCTGGCATGATTGTCAGATCGAGGACATTATGCAACAAGTGAATTAACTATTAAAATAAAAAATAAAAAAATAAATAAATTTTTATAATTAGTAAATTTGATGCCAAATGATATGGTATTTGACCTGTATTCGATTAGATTAAATAACATTATATATTAAAGATTAGTCGAATAATATTAATTGAATTAATACGTATAACAGCATATATTAAATATTAGTTAAATTAATTTAACAAACAAAAAAAAAAAATTTATACCTCACTCAACCTCCAAGATAAACCATAAACATTAATATACAATTGTTCTCTCTCATTCGTAGCCTTATCAGAGTCCGATAGTTTAGGTGAATAGAGTCATTATCCATTAATAAATTTGTTAATTCATTCATATTATATTTGGTGACCTGGGTATCTTTCTTTCTATGGAGGTACTTGAATGCCAAGGCCCATCGAGCCACTTTCTGTAAGTTAAAAAAAAAAAAAATTATAATAAATAATGAAAATTATAATAAAATAAATAATAAAAATTATAAAAAAATAAATAATAAAA